GTGTGTGTGTGTGTGTGTGTGTGTGTGTGTGTGTGTGTGTGTGTGTGTGTGTGTGTGTGTGTGTGTGTGTGTGTGTGTGTGTGTGTGTGTGTGTGTGTGTGTGTGTGTGTGTGTGTGTGTGTGTGTGTGTGTGTGTGTGTGTGTGTGTGTGTGTGTGTGTGTGTGTGTGTGTGTGTGTGTGTGTGTGTGTGTGTGTGTGTGTGTGTGTGTGTGTGTGTGTGTGTGTGTGTGTGTGTGTGTGTGTGTGTGTGTGTGTGTGTGTGTGTGTGTGTGTGTGTGTGTGTGTGTGTGTGTGTGTGTGTGTGTGTGTGTGTGTGTGTGTGTGTGTGTGTGTGTGTGTGTGTGTGTGTGTGTGTGTGTGTGTGTGTGTGTGTGTGTGTGTGTGTGTGTGTGTGTGTGTGTGTGTGTGTGTGTGTGTGTGTGTGTGTGTGTGTGTGTGTGTGTGTGTGTGTGTGTGTGTGTGTGTGTGTGTGTGTGTGTGTGTGTGTGTGTGTGTGTGTGTGTGTGTGTGTGTGTGTGTGTGTGTGTGTGTGTGTGTGTGTGTGTGTGTGTGTGTGTGTGTGTAATGGTCCAATGGTGTGTGTGTGTGTGTGTGTGTGTGTGTGTGTGTGTGTGTGTGTGTGTGTGTGTGTGTGTGTGTGTGTGTGTGTGTGTGTAATGGTCCAATGGTGTGTGTGTGTGTGTGTGTGTGTGTGTGTGTGTGTGTGTGTGTGTGTGTGTGTGTGTGTGTGTGTGTTCAGGTGTGTATGCGTGTGCATTCGTAAGAGCATGTAAATTGATGCGCAGAACAGATGAAAGAACATGTTTGCAGGTCCACTTCCTTCTGTCTGTGATGAGCATTGTCCTTAACTAAAAGCCACATCACACAAACTCACATCTTCATGAACCGGATTGACGGGGTAGGAGAACTTCTTGGCAACTGCTACCCTGGCCTCTGCCATTCCTGCATGGGATTGACAGAGAGCGAATTGATGAAGCAGATTGCAAACACACTATCGCTGGCATCCCCCACCGACACTACGATATGCAAACCCGTCTTCATAGGACAGCAGTGCACAGGATTTCCATGCTGCTAAGTTCATTGCATACACTGTGTATGTATCTTGAGATGTCTACATTGACAGCTTGAGGCCTCATGCGGTACAGATCAGAGGAAGGTGATGGATGTGAAACGTGGGCGGCTCATGCGGTACAGATCAGAGGAAGGTGATGGATGTGAAACGTGGGCGGCTCATGCGGTGCAGATCAGAGGAAGGTGATGGATGTGAAACGTGGGCGGCTCATGCGGTACAGATCAGAGGAAGGTGATGGATGTGAAACGTGGGCGGCTCATGCGGTACAGATCAGAGGAAGGTGATGGATGTGAAACGTGGGCGGCTCATGCGGTACAGATCAGAGGAAGGTGATGGATGTGAAACGTGGGCGGCTCATGCGGTACAGATCAGAGGAAGGTGATGGATGTGAAACGTGGGCGGCTCATGCGGTACAGATCAGAGGAAGGTGATGGATGTGAAACGTGGGCGGCTCATGCGGTACAGATCAGAGGAAGGTGATGGATGTGAAACGTGGGCGGCTCATGCGGTACAGGCCAGAGGAAGGTGATGGATGTGAAACGTGGGCGGCTCATGCGGTACAGATCAGAGGAAGGTGATGGATGTGAAACGTGGGCGGCTCATGCGGTACAGATCAGAGGAAGGTGATGGATGTGAAATGTGGGCGACTCATGCGGTACAGATCAGAGGAAGGTGATGGATGTGAAACGTGGGCGGTTTTGTACCGGACGCCGGAAAGCTCACTGATAATGAGCAAGAGTAGTACATTCACAAAATGATGTCATCTTTTTAAAATGATGTCATCTTTTTAAAATGATGTGATCTTTTTTAAATTGATGTCATCTTTTTAAAATGATGTCATCTTTTTAAAATAATGTCATCTTTTCAAAATGATGTCATCTTTTTACTTTATCTCCGATCCGCAACACATGAACACCGTACTCGCGCGATAAGAGCCCTCTCTTGAATAGTGAATCATGATAGTTGACAGTAAACGTTATTCTCCGTTTCTCTTTGCCTTTTTTGTTTTATGGTGGATGACGTAAATGTACCAGCATTGCAAACATAGCACTCTCTCTCTCTCTCTCGAATAGTGCCCCATCTGTGATGGGGCACTGACAATATAGTGCCCCAGGGGCACTAATCGCGTGCGTACGATAGTCCTTGACTATATCATGTACAGCGATCTGTGATCGGAGTCGTGTGGAGCGTCCAAATTCTTTTTCCTTATATAAATTATGATGCCAACTTGAAATTTTGTTAGGCCAGCAATCACTTCACTGCCATGTTGGCACTAAACTATGCGGGGACAGGGGGTGGGGATACGGTGTAATTTCCGGCATCTTGTCGACATTAGTGTATACAGCAGCCAGGTAATGGAGGCGAAACATAGCAATCAATACCATGCCACGAGTTCCCAATTATCTGTGAGTCGCAGCACGGCTGGAAAAATCCTTCCGCTTCCAAGCAGGACTTGAACCTGGTACCGTGTGTTTCTCAATCGTGGGCTAAGACCATCTCACTACTGTAAGGCTACAAATTTTCGACCCATTAAAATGTCAGCCTCCCAGGGCTAAAACTCATTTCAGCCATATCAAATTTTCGGCCTGTACTGCTGCCGTCTGTATATACACTGTCACACTGAATCTAGCAAAACAAAATTTTGGCCGCAACAAATTTTCGGCCAAACATGACCAGTCCGAAGATAGCCGAAAATAAATATGCGCCGAATATTTGTTTACTTATAGTATGCACGCCGCTTTTGCCTGGGAATAAAGGGGAGGTAAACGGCACAAATATCATAGTACTAAGTAGTTAAAGGGGAAGTATACCCTAAAATCTTATTTTCACCAGTTGTAGTCTTCAGGGTGCTGAGTCGAATGGTCTTGGTCCGAGGAAGCTGACACGCTCCCTTCCTACTTTATTCCCAATCGAACTCGCCCATTTCCACCGAAACTGGGTGACTGCGCCCTACTAGATAGGGATTTGTATGGAAAAAGTCACTAAAAACGCCGTTTCGTTCTTGCAAAAGCGCGGATGACCGCGATTGGTCCATATGTTGTAGTCTTTTGGCCGCTGAGTCGATTGGTTTTGGTCCGAAAAGGCTGCGATGCAGCGTTCGGCCCTTATTCCCAATCGAACACGGTTGAGTAAGCGGTCACGTGCTCATGCGTACACCAGTCGCCTGGTCACCGCGCCTGCAGGCTACAATTTTCACATCAAAATTCAACTCAAAGGTTCAAAGCAGGGAGTCGTAAGAGGCTTTTACGACTCCTGGTTCAAAGGTTCAACTCGAGCGACATAAACGGGCCCAAACAGGCTGTAAATGAGCACGTGACCGATTACTCACCCGTGTTTGATTGGGAATAAGGGCCGAACGCTGCATCGCAGCCTTTTCGGACCAAAACCAGTCGACTCAGCGGCCAAAAGACTACAACTTGGCATTATCATAGATTCCGCCCTCTCCTGGTCTCACCATGCTGATCATGTGTCGTCCAAAGTATGCCGATCTGTCGGCATAATGTCAAGTCACTTGTCCCATTTGCCCCAAAATTGCCGGATTAATTTTTATAAATCATACATTCTTCCCCTCTTCACGTACGGCTTCCCTGCCTGGTCCACCATTAACAAAACCCACATAGGTAAATTAGAAGTTCTCCATCGCCGTATACTGCGCATCATATTTCGTACTGATTGTTATATCACAAATCTAGACTTGTATGCTGCTGCATCCTACCACTCTGCAACATCACCTTGATGCTTCCAAGTGCACCCTGGCACATTCAATTTTTCTTGACCAGCACCCTGCTCATTTACAGTCCCTTAATTGGTTCAATTCAGGTGGCACCACCCGAAGCTGCGTTCGTCTCCCCCTAGCTAGGTCTACCCTATTCGTAAATTCCCCTTTCTTTTCCTCCTACTCCACGTGGCTCCAACTGCCTCCCAGTGTTAGACGAGCTCCAGATATGCCCAAATTCCGTACCCTCGTCAGACAGCACTTCAGTATCTCCCAGTAAACAAAGTCACAGTCACCACTTCCGCTGCATAGCTCGCTGAGCATCCCATTGCTTTTTAAGTTGCTAATCCCTTCCCACTTTGTGTACGTGCTCTTCATTTTCTTTTTTTTCTTTTCTTCCGTGGTTGGTCTCACCCTCTCCTCAATTCAATTGGCTGTCTTGACATACCACGAGGTGCAGAAATAAATAAATAAATAAAAATAACATATGGACCAATCACGGTCATCCGCGCAATTGCAAGAACGAAACGGCGTTTTAGTGACTTTTTCCATACAAATCCCTATCTAGTAGGGCGCAGTCACCCAGTTTCGGTGGAAGTGCGCGAGTTCGATTGGGAATAAAGGAGGAAGAGAGCGTGTCAGCTTCCTCGGACCAAGACCATTCGACTCAGCACCCCGAAGACTACAACTGGTGAAAATTAGATTTTAGGGTATACTTCCCCTTTAACAACGAGTTTCGTTCACAACGATCCGAGAACATGTTTTGGTGGAATTAAAATTTGAAATGACCTGCTCCATTTTAAATGTACAGTAAAAGCTGGTGTAGGCGACCTCTGCTTTTAGCCACCACCTGCTCTTAACGACCGTTTTTCCATGCACCGACAGTTCTACACTGAAACTGTGGGACCTGGTTCTAAAGACCACCTTGCTTTAACGACCGCTTTCGCTTGCACCGTGGGGTGGCCACTTCAACCCGGTGTTACTATACCAGTTTTCTTGCACAGACTGTACCTAGCGGATTGGTTTCTGTTCTTTTGTTTTCACTGATCATAAGTATACAGTTCCCATTCTCCACAGTCAGTCCCATACAGTTTGCTAACTCTCACCTGGTGTTTTTTTGTAATCATTATCTTTACCAGCTTGCAGTACATCAGTCACAGCCTGGATAACAATCGGTGATGGAGGTAGGTTCTTGTGGAATGCCGGGTCACCTGCATAGTGGAAGTGTTTGTCAAGAACCACGCCATCATCCATACACACACACACACACACACACACACACACACACACACACACGCACACACACACACATATATATACACACACACACACACAAAATGCATGGCCACACAAAAATGCATGGACACACAAAAATGCATGGGCACACACACACACACACACACACGCACACAAAATGCATGGGCACACACACACACACGCATACACACACACACACATACGCAACAAACATGAACCTGTAAAATATGGCGGGTTCTGGACCTGGGTCTGGGCCATGCCCCAAAGAGGGGTATCATAACCCCACTTGCACCATATACTTATGCATGTGCCCGGTTTCCACCGAATTTAAGCCATGATCAAGTCCTGGGACACACCGGCCGACATCTGGCCCATAGGCAACCAGCTAAATAGCTGTTGACAGCATCCACGCTGTGGTTCGATTGGGAAATTTTCTTCAAACGTACATCTGAATGTTCCAGCACACTCAATGTATGTATCCAATGAGACAACGAGGGCCAGTCAGGGCAGCTCAAACGGTCATGCAACTCCATGTACCGTGATGCTGAGCAAAGTGCACACTGATAGAGGAAAGGCTGTTTGTCAGTTTGAAACGGGGGATCCGATCAGAAATCATTGATTATTGGCTGCTTCTTAGCGGGCCTACATCTAGGCGTTAGCCTAGTGCGGCAGCACTGAGTCATCGTGCATGTGCGATTATACTATACAGTCAGACCTCGTTTATCCGGTCCTCGTTTATCCGGATCCCTCGCCATCCGGAAGAAAATCGCTGGTTACCGATGTGCAGCATATGTTATGCATACAACATAACCGGACCTCGCGATCCGCATACCGGTGCATGATTTTGTGTACAAACTGGTTAAAATGTGTACAAAATGCTTCGTCGTATCCGGTTGCATGTGGCTGGCTAGAGCTTGCAGAAGCTAGTATCAAGGAGTTGTACAAGCAAATGAGGTCCTTGACCTGCTGGGTGTGTGCGGACAGCACTCAGTTGCATGCACTTGTCATTTTTCTCGCTTGTTTTACATACTGGGCACGCTAGTTGTACTGCATAGGACCTGTCTACATGTATGTATGATGTCACTGCTTTTGACATGCCACATGCATGCACAGTATGTGTGTTCAGTTATCCGGTTACTTCGCCTATCCGGATGTTTTTGTGGAAAACAGATGTGTGCGATTAAGCGAGGTCTGACTGTAGTCCGTTTCAAAAAGATTAGCAATCAGGTTTTGGTCTTAAAGAGTAGGAAGATAAGGGCAATTCGGACAACAAAGTACATAAAATGGCTTGTTAGGGCACGGCAAATTGTTCTGTGAAGGTTTCGTAACAATTGGACCAGCCGTTAAGGAGTTAGAATTTCGGCCAGGTTTCCGGCCTTTTCCCATGGTTTACAATTTGCCCTTGACGCCAGTATCATTTTTTTTTATCATAACCCACGATTTATCCTTTCCTTTTTGGCCTTGTGGTTAGGAATGCTGACTGCTGACCATGAAGTTGCGAGTTCAAGTCCCAAACTATCTTCAAGTCAAACATTTTTTCATTGTTTTGGTGATCACGCTGGTAGATCTACAAAAAGTACAAGACAAAGAAGGTGGCGCCAAACGAATTGTTGTTGGAGCTCGCTTTTCCTGCCGAACTTACTGACGCTTGACTGGTTCATGCCATGTGAACACACCCACAACACTCACTGACTCAGTGTGAGTGAACACGGAAGTCATTGCGCTGTAGCTACGTGTTGTTGAATACAACGGCACGTCGATCGATCGACTTCTTTTTGAGAATTATTTTAGTATTTCAAGATCGCCAATATATTTGAATTTAAGAGTCAGCGCCGTCTTCTATCAGCTTCCACAGGCGTCTGCTTTTCTCAAAATGTCGTCGAAGTCACAGGGATAGCTTTGCCAAGTCATGGCCTTGGGAATGAGTCGGTGTCGATGTCCTTTTCGTCATATCATGAGAGTAAATTGCATCGCTGCTCAAAGAAACTATTTGGACCCATCCCGCTTGTCAACATTTACCACACTTTCTATTCTATTCGGCATGTTTTCTCTGATTCCATATCGATACGAGAAAGAACTCGTTTGTTGTAAACCAGACGTACATGTACCGACGTCAGCGAGTTGTCATTTTTCATGCTTTCGCGCGGAATATTTCTTCGAGTTCACAGTGCGTTTTTCCAGCCAGCGCTCGACCGATCATACCGTAAGACGGCAAACTCCCCGGGCGATCGCCAGGATTGCAAATCTTTTTGAAACGGACTGTAGTTGATAGGCACGCACCATCCGCTGGATCGGATGAAGGAAACCCCTCATTCTGTATTGCGGAAAGTGTTAGCCAGGGTTAACTCTCACATGTTCCGTCTCAGAGTAGCCACAGAAGTGAGCATTTCCAGTGCTATAATTATGGAGTTTATGTGAAGAGCACCATCACTGCACATACTTCCTTTTGGGTGGGTAACCAGTGTTTGATATCATTGCATGTGTTTTTTTTGCATTCAGTGTGAAAACCTGCGTTTGTGATGACACAGTTTTGCCACCCCAACAGTACAATGATGGTGACATGACAATCGTTTCCTTTGGACCTTTTTCCCCTCTTTTCAACTCCTTCGAACTGATGATATTTTTTTTAGGTCATTTTCCCAAAAACAGATTACTGTTACCGGTATATACCTCACATGTTCATACGTTTTGTACCTTCCATGTAGATCTACCGTGTATCAAACTTCAACAGCCGCTAATGTCCTAATAATACATCACAGCGGTTTCCAGCGTAGAGGTTCTTATCACAAATCACGGCATTGCTGTTGCAATTTTAGTTTCCCATTCAATTTAGGAAAGAAGCAGATCATCATTCACGCATTTCTGTGGACTTCAATGCACCCGATCCGAGTTCACCCCCAACACGCTGTTCGTCTTACCGACGTTCAGTTTTATGAGCTGCTTGTCGGGATTCGGTTTGAATTTACCGCCGTCGATCACCTTCTGGAAGGGACTGATGCAGTGCCGCGACTCGAACGAGCCCCGGATATTCCAATCCTGTTCTTCGGCCATCATACGGCTGCAAGAGTTGCGGAGCCTGTAAAACTGGTACAATAATAGTAACTCACTAACTGTTACACCTGTAGCAACTAGCGTGGCAGGCGTGCTTTTGTGTTTGCGACCGCCAGACCGCAACCAACACAAATGCTTGTAACTGTGTTACTGGGAGTTTTTGACTAATTTTTTAGAAATGATTTGTGAAGCTTGCAGATATACGCGTATACGATGCACTAAAAACCCAACTTCCAAAATTTGAGGCTAAGCTAGCACCCTTTTCGCGTGCCTCTGGCTCACATCATGTATTATGTTCCACACTTACAAAAAATATTATGACATACACTCGGCCTACAAACGTCAGTCTCCACAAACCAATCAATAAAAAAATAAAAACATAACAATCGCCACAGCCTGTGCATGTGGCGCAGGGAAACGAATACTTCACACTAGTTGAGCCTACAATTTACAAAGACTAGTTACATGACACGGCTGAACTCAGCTCGCCCGGGCGCAGGAGAGATGTATAATGTGTCCGGTAGCAGCTCTCTGCGTCGACCATGACAGGTAGCGCTGACAGCTAGCTCTTCTGTTCGCTCTCTCGTGAGCCGTCGCTGGTGAGTGACAAACAGTGGATAATAATCATTATTACTACTGTACTGAGGCTAGGAGCAGGACTGCCAGGAGAGCCTCCTACTCCTAGCCTCTCGTTTGACAACTACTTTGTAGGCTCAACTGTTCGTTTCCCTGCGCCACAGGCCGTGGCGATTGTTATTTTTACTTTTATTGATTGGTTTGCGGAGACTGACGTTAGCGCACTAATGGCGGAGTGCAGTACATAATTATTTTTTGTAAGTGTGGAACATAATAACAGTATTATCGTACCAGTTTTACAGGCTTCGCAACTCTTACAGCCGTATGATGGCCGAAGAACAGGGTTGGAATATCCGGAGCTCATTCGAGTCGCGGCACTGCATCAATCCCATTCCGAAGCTGGTCGACGGCGGTAAATTCAAACCGAATCCCGACAAGCAGCTCATAAAACTGAACATCGGTAAGACGAACCACGTGTTGGGGGTGAACTCGGATCGGGTGCATTGAAGTCCACAGAAGTGCGTGAATGATGATGCATTGTGAACTGTTTCTTTTCTCAATTGCATGGGAAACTAAAATTGCAACAGCAATGCCGTGATTTGTGATAAGAACCTCTACGCTGGAAACCGCTGTGATGTATTATTAGGACATTTATAGCGGCTGTTGAAGTAGTTTGATACACGGTAGACCCAGGTGCTCGAAGTCCGGACACTTTTACAGTGTGTGTTTGCGAGCTGAAACTCACAATAGCAATGATCACTTGCCAGAATCCTGCTCGTGGATGGAAGGTATCTTGTCCAAGTTTGTTCTGAGGCCAGGCTCGATTGAACCAGGCCATCTTTCGATCCGATCTGTTTCTCTGGAGTTCGCTGATTTTTCATATCAAATTTTGGTGTCGCAGAGGGTGCGCTAAGTCCGTACTGATCAGAGGTGACTCCAAATACACACATACCGCATTTCCCCGTAAGTTAGTTCTCCCCAAAGACTTAGTACCCCTATAAAAAATACACTTTCCACTGCCGAGGTTATTGTTGAAATTTTATTTTGTATCGCAGACCAAACGGGCAATGGTGCCCAATATTATGATGGCGATAAAGTAACGGCCGAGAGCCAAGGATACAACAAGCAAGCCTCCACGAAAGAGAGAAAAACACAGAACACACAGACTGCAAATACTCAAAAAGAAAAATAGAAAGAGAAAAAAAGAAGAAGAAAGAAGAAGAAAGCACAGTTGAGTCACGACTCCAAGTCCAAGCCTAGATGCTGGCTAACCATAAAAATAAACCTTTAAAAGTCTCTTGAATGATCTATGGCAGGCGAGGGACTTGAACTCTTGGGGCAGGGCGTTCCATAATTTAACAGCAGAAACGAGCGGCCGACAGTCACCAGAGACTCGCCTGGTGGCAGGGACAGCATACGCATTTGGATCGTTGATCCGAGTGACGCCTTCAGTCTGGCGACGTAGGCGCTTGGACAGGAGATTACTAATTCTGGCGGTGTGGATACGAAGCATGAGGAGGCGGAGTTTACAGTGGGCGTTTTGGATGATGGGGATGAGGCCTAGACGGGTGTAGATGGGATCTGTGTGGGAGGAGAATGGCTGGTTGGCAACGCAGCGGATACATCGCTTGTCGAGGACCGAAAGCTGATGCCGTTGGTGCGCAGAGAGAACCGAGAAGAAGGCATTAGATCCATAGAACATGTCCGGTAGTATTAATGATCTGTACAATAGCAGGGCTTGTTGCTCAGTTAAGCAGGAGCGAATGGCTCGCAGCGCCGTCAGTTTCTGGGAGGTCTTCCGTGTAATAGTTGCAACTTGAGTCTCCCACCGAAGCTGGGTGTCGAGATGTAGACCTAGATATCGAGCATTTGTGGTCTGAGCTAGGGGATTTCCATTGCATTCTATGTTAAGTAACAAGGGCTGCCTGCGAGACGCATGAAGGGCTAGAACGTGGGTTTTGGAGGGATTTAGTATTAAGCCTCTTTCTTCCAGAAAGTTGGTCAGGTTGGAGACTGAACGGGAGAGGGTTAAATTCAGGAATTCGACGGATTGACTGATGGCGTCTAGCAGGATATCATCAGCAAACAGCTGTGAGTGGGCTGGAGCTGTGATCTGTTCTATTTCCATTGTGTAGATGGAGAACAAAAGAGGACCCAGCACACTTCCCTGAGGAACACCACACTCACAGGGAGAGAGGGCGGACGACTGGCCATTGCTCAGGACGACTCGCTGACGGCGGTCAGTTAGGTAGCTCATGAACCAACTGAGCGCCGTTGAGGTAATACCAAGCTGAAATAGATCTGTAACCAAATTTTGGTGTTTGACCTTATCGAAGGCCTTGCTCATATCGACAAGTACAAGACCTGTATGGCGCTGCTGATCCGCTGCCTCCAAGTATCTGTCTACAGCCAATGTCAGGACATCTTCTGTGGAGTGAAGTGGGCGATATGCGAACTGGTTTGCGGGGAACAAGGAATTTCCGGAGAGGAACTTACAGAGTCTCGTGTGGACTACCCGTTCTAGGACTTTGGAAACTATTGGTAATAACGATATTGGTCTATAGTTCTTAGCGACAGCTTTGTCGCCTGACTTGAAGAGGGGACGAACATCCGCAATCTTCAGAGATGCAGGAACAACACCAGAAGCCAGAGATGCATTAATTAGTATGGTGAGGGACGGTGCAAGGACAGGAGAACAGTGTTTGAGGATTGCAGCTGGAACCTGGTCGCTGCCTGCAGCTTTGCGCACGTCGATGTTGGAGAGCAGCTTAGCGATCTCTTGCACACTTGCTGGAGCAAATTCTTCGAGGCATTCCTTCTTCGTGGGACCCAATGGGGCTGAGAGACGTAGTGGTCTAGTTGGGTCTGACACAACACCGCTGAATTGGTCACTGAGCTGTGAGATACTGACGGCTGGTGGAACTGAGGACTTGTTACGACCGCTGAGGTAGTTGATGGTCTGCCAGGTTTTTCGTGCGTTGGCCTGACTAGCCGCAAGAAGGTCCCTAAAGTAGGTGGCTCGGAGATGTCATGACATACGCTAGGCTTCGTCTCGGGCAGAAGTGAAGACATTGCGTAGTGCCGGGTCTGCAGGTGATGCTTTCCACCGTCAATGGGCCGCGTCACGTCGCTGGACTAGGTCATGTAGAGCTGGCGTCTTCCAGGGGAAGGATTTCCGGGTAGGAGCTCTTGGGCGGTGTAGACGGATAGGAGCATGAGTGTTCAAGGCAGCGACAAGTTTCTCCAGCCACATATCCCACATTTCATCTTCTGTCCGCGCAAAGCAGAAGTTCTCTAGATCGCTATTTAGAAGGTGGTGTGCAAATTGACCCATATCAATTCTTGCAATGTTACGGCCACGTCGCACGGTCGGTGTGCAGGACGTTGTGAGTCGCAAATCAAGTGCCAGAGCGAAGTGGTCACTGATTGTACAAGGTACTATGACACAAGAGTTCGCATGATCATCTCCCACCAGAGCGAGATCCAGGGTTGTTTGGCTGCCTTGGGGTCCAATTCTGGTAGGACTGTCCACTTGGTTCTTGATGTCGAAAGAATTACACAGGTGCAGCAAGCTGTTTAGCTGGGGGCTGTCGCGGGAGCTTACATCGACATTGAAGTCTCCAACAAGGACCAGAGGTGACGTGGGAAGTGTGGAGATGACAGTGTCTAGTGCATTCGTCAAGTCTTGCCAGAATTGCACAGGAGTGCCTGGAGGACGGTACACACTACCAAGGAGAACCTTGGAACGCTGCCCACTGACCTCTAACATGAGCATTTCCACCTGGGTGTCAGCCTTCACAATTCGGGCTCGGAGATGATCTCTTACATATGCTGCTAAGCCTCCGCCATGAGTTGGCCTGTCGCGTCTGACCAGGGTGTAATTCTGTATGCGTGGGATGTCATCGGAAATGGAGGTTGTTAAGAAAGTCTCTGCCAGCATCATTATATCAACTTTATGGGAAAGAATATAATCTTCAATTTCATGCTTTTTATTGAGAAGATGGCAAACATTTAGGAATCCTATTTTGAGGTTACTTTTAATTAATTCATGCTGTAGGGGATTTACAGTGGGGCAACTATTTCGTGGCTGAAAGATAGGTGCATGAGGGTTTAAAGGGGAAGTGCATCGATTTTTCGAGTATGGTCCAGAAGAAAGACAATTTGATATCGGTTCGAATGGCATATCTCTCGCTTCCATACGATAAGCCAAACTTGCCAAATCGCCAATTGTATACTCACGTTGCCATAGCGACCAGCGCAGTGATGACGTACGAAAGGCTTAGCTCCACCACAGAGAAGGTCGATCACTGCAGAATTTGGTCATTTTCAATTGGTTTATTGTATTCACGAAGTGAAAGAAGGGCTGTGTTCAATGCTGTTAGTGCAGTGAACTGTTTGTTAGTAGTCCTCTCGGTTGTGTACTGGGACGTGACACCGACAGGAGAAAGCTGGAGCGCGGAGACACCAGCAGACAAGCGAAAATAGTGACGAACAAAATGCTGAAATCTTGGTTGGGACAAATCAGACGTTCAGCATTTCCCCCAACCAAGGACCATGCCGTTTGCTCTTTCCACTTCCTGAAGATGAATGTGATGCTTCCTGGCGACTCTCCTATCTCTCGTAACATCTTCTGAAGCCAGGTGAGACGACGGGTGGTGGAGATTGACGAATGAAATACTGATGTCGTAGGTTTGAAAGTTTGCTGAAAATGTCTCAGGAGAGACGGCGAATTCCAAGCATCTTGTCCTGGAAGAAACCATTTCCTAGGCACAGTCAGCCTAGGGAAATGCATAAGAAGGGCGACAAATAGTTCACGGCACTAACAGCATTGAACACAGCACTTCTTTCACATCGTGAATACAATAAGACAATTGAAAATGACCAATTTCTGCAGTGATCGACCTTCTCTGTGGAGGAGCTAAGCCTTTCGTACGTCATCACTCCGCTGGTCGCTATGGCAACGTGAGCATACAATTGGCGATTTGGCAAGTTTGGCTTATCGTATGAAAGCGAGAGATATGCCATTCGAACCGATATCAAATTGTCTTTCTTCTGGACCCTACTCGAAAAATCGATGCACTTCCCCTTTAAGGGTTGAAAGGGGGCTGCGTGAGGATTTAAACAGAACATTTAGTGCTCCTCTGCAGCTCGACCAGTTGCTACACTGTCAGCCTTGAAGCGCCATTCTCGAACTCTGACGTTTGAAGGCCTGAATTCCGGTTCCAGAACAGTAGCTTTGTGTTGTATTGGCAGAATTACGTGAGCAAAGGCCAACCCGAAGTACTTTGTCTCGGACACGGAGCACTTGATGACAGGTATATTTCGGCGTTCACACCATTTGGCGATCGATTCTGATGTGCAACCACTATTGACATTGCCCACATACAAAGCGCAACATTCTGTACGGGATCCTCCCTGTAGTTGATCAGAGCGCTTGGGCCGGTTTTCATAGTACGACGT